GAGATATATAGAGAGAGAGAGTACTCACCCTGCTTGCACTCGGACCGCACGTTGCTCTCTAGCGTGTCCATCTGTATCTGTATGCGCTTGTACTCTCTCTCCGCCTGGCTGCTCTTGCGGCGATACACCAACAACACGGCGATCGTCACGACGACGAGTAGACTGCCGCCGCCGGCGATCGCTCCCACCGCGTACTCGGGAAGTTTGTACGGTTCGATGACCTCGTAACGCAGGCGCCCCACCGTGAACTCTAGACTGCCGACGCGCACCTGTGGTGAGAGAGAGGAGGTGAGGAGTATTAGGATGGCGTCCGACTATGGTTGGTGGAGTGGGTATACATATGTATATATATATTCAACTGAATTCGATTTAATTCAATCACTTCGTTTACACTTATAGAAATTACATGTTGAAAAGTAAAGTATAGTATTATATTAGTTAAATAAATTACCTAACTGACCTTATAAATATAAAAAATAATAAATAATTATATATATATATATATATATATATACTACTAGGTACTCACTATAGTATATACTACGATAGTAGCTAAATACCATGTTAGCCCTATTGTATAAATATTATTTATATAAAGCCGATTGAAACCTAGGACATCGTCCGGCGCGGGAACTAGCGATCTATTGCCCGCCGTCGTAGTCTGCCCACGACGACGGCCGTTAAAATTGAGCGGCCGATCGGTCTGAATTGTAGCCGGTTTCGTCCCGATTAATCTCGATTACGAACTATGAAATGAACTATATAATGAAATTTAATATGATTCAGGCGCTGGCGGCGAAAAAACGCGGCTATTGCTCGGGCGGCCCCTAGGTAGGCGCCTACAAGCAATGGGAACGCAGCTCGCCGATGCAGGTAATAATGTTCCTGGCTAATACCGCTTGTTTACGTTCGAGGATACCCGTAGTATTTCGACTTCGAGTTCTTGATGTTCACAGCGTCGCTCGCATTACGATTAGCGTATTAAGCATTGCTTAAGCAAGATCATTGAAGCGTGCGCGGTGTCCCCGGTTGTTGCTGGGGGGGCTTGCCTGTGTTGCCTACTTGATGTTGGTGTTTGAGGGTGGGGGTTGACTGTGGGGGTGTAGCGCCCGGTATGGGGGCGTGCCCGGTGCGGGGCTGTGCTCCCAATGTCTGTTATGGTGTATGCACAAAAGCGTTACAGACAGATGGTGCCGGGAGTGGTGGCCGGAGATATTGCGCCCCCTGCGGGGTCTTGGTACGATGTTGCCAGAAGTGGTTTTACTCGATATGTTGGGGCACGAGTGGTTTGCCCGGGTGGTTGCCCGCGTGTATTGGCCGAACATGGTTGGGCAGGGTGTTGCCCTCTAGGTATGGTGACCAACCTTGTTTACCCGGGTGTTGACCGCGCTAGATATCTGCCCAACCATTGTTGCGGCCAGTGTTGCCCGGGAGTTATCTCGCCCAAACATAGTTGGCCAGTGTTGCCCGGCCTTATATGTGCACACAGTGTGGTGGCGGCAGTGTGGCCCCTTATATACCATGCAACATGTTACCGGGCCGCTCTGCCCACGAGGTCGTGACCAGGGACGCCACGCGCGCGGCAGAGTCGCGGCATGTGCTGCAGGCGAGAGACTGGCAGGACGTACGTGTACATGTTGACGCCATTAATATATGCAACATGTTTTGCCATAGTGTTGCACCCGGCGTATTTGCGCAACATGTTGGCCAGTGTTGCCCGGCTGCTTGCAACATGGTGGCCAGTGGTTGCCCCTATATGTGCATAACATCATCGTTGGCCAGTGTTGCGCCGATGAGTGCCGCCGCCCGGGGGTTCAGAGAGGTTGCAGAACGCGCGCCACTCACCGGTGACGATGGGTAGCAGCTTGGCCTCCTCTTCCGTGCCCGCGTCGTCCTACGCCGGGGGTTGCTCAGGTGGGGGCCGGGCGGAGGAGTGGCACGACTGGAGCTGCGGGGTGCTCGGGGGGGCGCGAGCGAGCGACGCGCGTGACGATTGCTACGGCGTGCACGCCGCCGGACGCGTCACGGACGACGGTCAACCCGTGTCACTCGCCAGGTTCAGATTCTCTCCCTGTTAACCACGCATCGGCGAGGGACAGGAATGCAGGTTCTACGTTGTTCTCTATTCTATTCACTCTCTATGTTCGTCGCTCTCTCTCTCGTCGCTCTCATATCTCGATATCTCTCTCTCTCTCTCTGCTCTCTCTCCTCTCGTCCTCGATTCTATCTCTCATTCTCTCTCTCTCTCTCTCTCTCTCTCTCTCTCTCTCACTCGCTGTCTCTCTTACTCTCTTCTCTCTACTCATCTCTCTCGCTGTTCTCTCTCTCTACTCCTCTCTCTTCTCATCTCTCTCTCTCTCTCTCTTTCTCTCTCTCACTCCGCTGTCTCTCTCTCTACTCTCATCCTCTTCTCTCTCTATCTCTCTCGTCTCTCTCTCTCTCTCTCTCCAACACGCGGGTTCTCTCTCGATCGAATCTCGTCTTCTCTCTCTTTCTCGTCTCTCGCTCTGCTCTTCTCTCTCTCTCACATTCGCTGTCTCTCTCTCTCTCATCTTGTTCTCTCTCTTATCGCGGTCTCTCTCTCTCGTTCTCTCATCTCTCTCTCTCTTCTTCTCTTCTCTTCATCTCTCTCAAAGTCTTCTCTCTCTCTCTTCTCTATCTTCTCGNCACACTTTCCTTCTCTCTCTATCTCGCTTTCTCTTGCTTGATCTCTCTCTCTCTCTCTCTCTCGTTCTCTCCCCTCCTCCTCCCTCCTCCTCCTCCTCCTCCTCCTCCTTACCTCTATGATGAGAGAGTCTCCCCGGTAGAGCTTCGTGTTTCCCGCTTCCACGAAAGGCTTGTACACCGGATTCGGAACATAAACCAAATCCGCGTCCACTTCCGGAAAACTCCAGCTGAGGTTTCTAACAGACGCGACGTCATCCATCACGAATCCCAACGTGGCGCTCGTCTCCACGGCAACCGTCTCCCTGGCGACGCGGCGGAGCGCGGATGCGGCCGGCGACGGTAACCGCGGCGACGGACACAGCATCACGGTGATGTTGAGAACGGTGCACGTCTGCGAGAGGGAGATATAGAGGGCGCCACGTGAGTTTCGGCGGCAAGTTTTTTTTGCGATTGAATTACGAGAGTCGAGCGGGAGTCGGTCGCCGCTGACTTAATTAGTTAATTGATTAATTACTATAATTAATTGATTAATTACCTAACGATGATTATGTTTTAATTAGGCTTGTGAGTGTGTTTTTGCAGACTCACCATTTCCTCGGACTTGCGTCGATTTAAGACGGCGAATATGCGCGGTCGCTGGATGGAGGTGAGATAGGTTCCATGTACTGTCAACATACGCCCACCGCTGCAACATAGAGAGAGAGATCAGTATAGAGAGAGGAGAGAGAGAGGGAGGGAGGTGAGATAGGTTCCATGTACTGTCAACATACGCCCACCGCTGCAAGATAGAGAGAGAGATCAGTATAGAGAGAGGAGAGAGAGAGGGAGGGAGGTGAGATAGGTTCCATGTACTGTCAACATACGCCCACCGCTGCAAGATAGAGAGAGAGAGGTCAGTATAGAGAGAGGAGAGAGAGAGGGAGGGAGGTGAGATAGGTTCCATGTACTGTCAACATACGCCCACCGCTGCAAGATAGAGAGAGAGAGGTCAGTATAGAGAGAGGAGAGAGAGAGAGAGAGGTCTGGAGGAGGGAGGTAGGTTCCATGTACTGTCAACATACGCCCACCGCTGCAAGATAGAGAGAGAGAGGTCAGTATAGAGA